TGCCATCATTGCCACAAATTCCACCACACATTGCTGCATGTGAACCCCAAGCTCCGTGACCAGCTTCTGCCAGGAAATTCGTCGTCTCGGTCCAAATCTCGCTCGGTGTCACCACATCCATCTACATCAACGAGATCTAATTATCGCGCTGTTGAACCTACTAGGCCCGCCGTTTCGTCCCAAGGATCCCTAACATCATTGATCCACAAGAACAATATAATATTATTGCCCACAGTTCTGGTTCGGATCGACGCGAAAGTGATGGCTCGATGCTTGCTGGATTCGGGTTCGTTGGTGAGCCGCATAGCCCGGGGTTTCGCTGACAAGCACAAGATAGCGCGGCTTACTTTGAGGGAGGAGACCATTTGCGCGCTTACACTCTACTCTAGGCATGATTCGTCCGTGAAGATTGAGGGCACTTTTCGTGTGGATAATCGGATCGCGATGAAGACTCCACTCGAATCACTTCCGGAAGACTACCACAAGCACTTCCCGCATTTGCTGTTCGCCGATCCAGACTTCCACAAATCTGCCGGCATCGATATTGTCATCGGAGTGGATCTTTATCCGAGAGTAATGTCAGAAGGGGTGTATTCACGCAGCGCCTTGCCCACTGCTCAGAGTACCATTTTCGGGTGGGCAATTTATGGCTCCTGTTCGAACTGAACGATTCATTGTATTTATTAATATTTTCTTCGAAATGAATTCCACCAATAAATGAAGTTTCTCACATGCACTATTGTTTTTCCTCCTTCCGAAAAAGCGCAAACTTTCCTTTTCAGCATATTTAGTATCCAGTGGTTACAGACCTAGCGAATCTATGTGGCTGAGCTGTTCACTCTGAAGGAAGACTGCATCCTGGTACCAGCCCGTTCACCATTATATATATCTAATCTTTCAATATATCAATTTTTTTTTGTAAACAAGAGAGAGTGCTAGTTTTTGGTCTAATTTCTTTAGTTGCAGTTACTGCAAGGGTGCCGGTAATGTTAACGCCAAGGTTAACCACGCTGGTCACCCTATTCTCTAGTTTCAATTTTTCTTTCATTTGTCTAAATTTGCATCTCTCTCTTGGTACTAAATGCTAATGTACTAAATGCAAATGTTTTCCTTTTACACTGGTTGTTCCTTTTTTCTTTTTTGTAAATAAACTTACTTTTATTCTAACCAGCAAACACAACTGTCATTGGTAAGATTCGTTTCCAAATTCTCCACCGAATTTGGTTCAATAAAATTCCATTGTTTGGCAAACTTCTTTTCTAAAACACCTTGTTTTTTCTTTCTTTGGTTTTTTTCATACAACTCCGAGGAGAAATTATTCCTGCATTAAAGAATATTATTTCCTCGTTTCGGCAACAACTAACCATCCCAGCTTTCCAGAAAATCCATTTAGGCGTGTTCAGAAGGCAGAGATTGCTCTTCCCCTGGTGTCGACCTCTGCACCACCCCATAAGGGATGTTTCGCGTTCAGGTCTCCACCAACTACCAGGTCGCCACTGTCGCGTAAAGCGAGTATGGGGTCCAGATCCAAAATTTGGAAGGGACCAACAGGGCGCTGATAAACAGACGCGAAGGCAATAGAGGACCCATCATCTCTCCAAACCCTAGCGACACAAGATTCTATATCCCTTGAGGAGATGGGGATTTTTTTCTGAACGAAACCTATCTTTTACTAAGACTGCAGTGCCCCCTCTTGGGCCTGTCAGTCTATCCTGCCTATAGGTTTTAAATCCTTGGCAGTAAAACTTTTGGCTGGGAGAGAGCCAAGTTTCTGCCAGCAGAATAATGTCCGGCTGATGCTCTAGGACACAATTCCGCAGGAAGTGCCTCCTAGTTTTAGAAACTATGGGGCCGACGTTTAGAAAAACGCACTTCAACATCCCTAATCTAAGGCTATGTGGACCATAAGGGCCCACCAAGCTTCCGCGTCGCCCCTTTCTTCGCGGTTACGCCTAAAGCTAGGACCAAACGACCTAACCTTAGACAATGTTGATAGATCTCCAAACTCCTTTGGCATGTTGCTCATCAGTCCTCCAATGTCTTGGGTGGGTCCAGATGGGCGAGCAGCAGGAGCTTTGGGGTGGTAGCTGTCCGTGGGGGTAACTGGGGCTGCGCAGTTTTTCCTCTAGCAACGGCAGCATAATCTAGCTTCTTCTTCTCCGAGGAGATGCGGCCAGACCTGGCGTTTTGCTTCGCCTCGGCTTCCTTCCTCCTTTGGATCCGGGTCGCCAGTATTTCCTTCCGTTTAGGGCAGAAAGGTGAGCCCGCAGAGTGGCTTTCCACTTTGCAGTTGACGCAGTTAGGGATTGCGTCCGTCTCCTTGCCCTCTTCAAACGTGGGGCACAGATGGGTGGGGTGTCCTTCGCTGCACTTCTCGCAGTTTGGCGGCATCCCACAGTTTGCGGCGATGTGTCCATGACGCTGGCATTTATAGCACCGCGTTGACTTCATCGCCCTATCCTTTCGGATCAATTCACTAAGGCTGAACAACCTGTTGACCTTATACAGCTTGTGTATGTCAGCCTTCCTATCAACCCTAACGAGCCATGTATCTGGCGCCATGTTGACTAGGCTCTGCACGAAGACTGGGAAGTCTAGCGTGCAGAGTTCTTCCTTAATTTCATCGGCGGTAAAATCGCCGGAAAGCCTATCTACCACAACGGTATACGGCAACCTGTTCTTAGGGGTATGCAAATGAAATTTGTACGCTCTCTGAACTAATAAGGCCCTAACCTTATCGTAAGTACTAAGGCTACTTAGTCTAAGGGAAATGACTCCCTTCCTGACCATCTTGATGGTGAAGTCGCGAGGGTTGAGCGACGATGCTAGGACAGTCCTAATTTCCTTGACTCCAAACTCATAGATGGTGATGGGGGAAGCTGCCTTCCTCGATTGGCCGTCCTTCGTGGGAGCGGCCGATGCTGCTGGCGAGCCATTTGCCAGCACGGGTTTGGGGGAAGCAGCCTTGGCTGATGCTGCAGAAGCCTTGGACCCAGGCTTCGTCACGGCCTTCGGTGAAGGACCGTCCGTCCTTTTCGAGGATGTTGCAGGCCGAGCAGCATCCTTCATCGGAGCGGCCTTCAGTGCTACCTTGCAGGCAGCGGACGTTGAAGAACCGTCCATCCTCTTACAGCCAGGGCCGTCCGCCCTACTGTTGTTGGGACCGTCCGTCCCATTGATGGTAGGACCGTCCGTCCTAGCTTGAGTGGTTGCTGGCAGTGCAACCCACTCCACCTTCATCATTTCGTCAAGAACTTCTGCTGCCTTGATGGAGTCCTCCATACCACGGCTGTTTACAAGTGCCGACGGCCTAGCGTTGTCTTCAGCTAACGTCCTTAGCTGGGCCCCCAGTTTTTGGATTACTCCCTGGAGGTTGGAGACCACGTTTTCCATCTGGAAAGCGCGATATTCGTACTCCTCAGAGCACCCACACTTCTTACGCTTGCGCTTAATGCGCGGGTCATCGACGGTGCTGCAGCCGTCCCTTTCGCTAGTATCCGTTAGCGAGCCATCCTTCTTCTCCTGGTCCTTCACCCGTTGTCCAGGTAGCTGTTCCATTTATCACTGTTCACTTTCACTTTTATTTACTGTTCACTTGGTTGTTGCTTCGATGACGTTGTGTTGAAGACTGATGACCACGAACAAATATACGGCAACTCCTTTTATACTCTGCCGCGTTTTACGCAGACGCCTGTTCGTTTTTTAATTGTCGATGTGATTTAGTTCGGCTATCTGTCGCTAGGTGTATTCGCACGTGGATTGTTTATAGTGATATTACTAACTACCACTAGGAGACAATTCCGTTAAATTAAATATCTGTATCCAAAAACTAGTGTAATGATATGAAGCGACCGTAGCGGTCATAAGGCTTAAGGCGATGGAAGATTGGATAAATAAAGGCCACGTGACATACATTTCAATAATTTTACAGGCAGATACCGAAAACAAATGTAGTTGCGTCATGTGAAACATTAAAGGTTAATGTACATAAAAGGATTTTTTTACTGGCTTAAGTCTTCGGCTGGCTTCTTCGTGGAGGAACAAAGGTGTTTTGGGTTGACTTAGTTCGATTTCGTCCCTAGACTCCTTTGTTCTTTTCCGAGGAAGCCAGCCGATTTCCTAAGCTAGTTAGAAAAGCGTTTTATGTATTCTCACCTTAACTCCTATCAGGGACTCGTGCAATGACAGATTCCAAAAATGCCCACTGAAACTGTTGTTACAAAGTTAGCTCAGCGCTCTGAGGGAGAGGCGGACTGAGACTTTTTAATACGATCCCTCAGGCGGAGGTCCGGGCGGTTGCAGAGTATATACTGGCATAATGCCAACACGAGATCCCCTACCGTAAACGTCCTAAGAGTTGCCGTCTTCTTTCAATAATATCCCTTCTAGAGCGCACAACAGACCTAAACCAGTTAAGTCCACCAGGACATGTAGAGATTGTTTTTTTTTTTTTTTTTTTTTTTTTTTTGTTCAACCTAACGTAATCTAGCTATAAGGTGAAGCAATAATAAAGTATCAGTTTTAGCATTATTTCATTTGAAAGAAAAAATATACTTTTGGTGAACCCAAAAGTAATTTCATTTTCGGAACATTCAGCAGTTAAAGTTATCTTATTTTCTGTCGGGGAAAGATATTGAGACCACACGAAAGAATTTAATGATATAAAATTGCTATTTATTTTTTAAACATTCCGGGATATTTGATTCTCAAGTGTTAAGAAGATTATGTTATAAAATCCTTCACCTACAATGAAAATACCAGAAAGTTGTTTGTAGCATTTGAAAGATTTTCATGGTAGTCAAAATATATTAAATATATTGAATGGTCACATCGCCGTATATTAAAAAAAAAAAAAAATAAACAATGAAAGGTAGATCGGTCGCATCATGTTGTATTTTCTACTTTTTCAGATATATTGTGCGCCAATATGGGCCCAAAAATATTAGAAGTAGGCCGCGCGCTTTGGTACTATGTTTATTTTATGTAGTTTTTTTACTTACCTGTAAGCATTGAATTGAATATTAAAGCAGGAAAATAATGATGGAAGTACAACACTCGACCCATTATCCAAAAGGGAAAATAATGCATTGCCCATCCAATATATAACCAGATAGCAGCATACATATGTGTCTGCTCGCTGACTTTATCTGCAATTAAAGGCATTTATAAAAATTATCACCATGCCATACCATGAACATGATACCTTCAGGTGCACAAAATTTATATGGAATGTTTTCAATATCCCTATTACAGTTTTTGTGCTTTATTCTGTTCTGTGCAACTTGTAGTTTGCCCTCTAGTCGCCTTCGTTTTATTGCATTTCTTGAAAATATAAACACAAATAAAACCAAAAATAAAAGATTGGTCCACCAGATTATAGGATTGCCCAACAAATAAATGCGATATTCATTTCCTGAAAAATATTGTCCCTAAACATTGGAAATAAATTAGTAGTTACATATTATATGCTATAATCTAAGAATCTAACCTTGTAGTTTATTGGCCACTGCCACGGTCTACTTGTGGATTCTCCTTCCTTCGGTTTAAGACCAGCGTTTCCCTGGAACATTACAGCGTGTGATTCCAAGAATGTAGAAAAAAATCCAGGCGCATACACGCTAAAACTTTCAGGTGGTACTGCAAAAAAATAACAATAGTTAGCATGTTATTTCCAGTAAATAGAATTAATTATTTTTTATCGTACACAAAAATTGAAAATGCATAAAAACATTATTTTCTTATTTTTAAGTTAGAATTACATTTTGTTAAATGATCTACGTCCGCTTAGCACGTACTATAGAGAGATTTTCTTGGACTAAAAGTTGCCTACAATTCCCCTTGGAGCTTACGTTCACAGAGCTCGAACCGTAGGCAGCTAAGTGATTCCCGGGATATTTTTTGCTTGTACGTTAGTGTTGTGTATGCCCTCCAAGCAATGGCATAGCAGCAATGAATAGGTCTAGTTTTGTAAATCAATCTTAATTCGGGTTCAAAATATAAAAAAGATCACCAAATCGTAATTAACATTGGCATAATTGCAATTGGTATAAAATTAAGTGCATTTAACTATTTTTGGCAAACTTATTATCCGAATTTCCAAAAGACCCTTTGGTTCGTCTTTCCAATACAACATCATAGACCTCTACTTCCAAATTTCAGATTTCCAACTACTATTCCCAAATACTAAATTTAATTCCATTTTATACTCTTCGTACTTAGGACTTATTGCCCAAACCACCTTGAAATATACACACTAACAGTGACCGTAATACCAAATTTCAACCACTATCTTTTACCCAATATCAATTTATCATTTAGTACTTTTCGTATACTTGTAGTACACATTTCCACAACCACCTCTTTATTTATACCCTTCCCATTTACCCAAAACCAAATTGTAACAAATTTAGTACAATTCTTACACTTCCAAAACCTAAAATCTTTCGAATTTGTAAATACTCTTTGGTTAAGCTATCGTTCGCAACATCAATGACCCCCATTCCAAGTTTCAGATTCCCAGTTCTATCCATTCCGCAAATACCAAATTTAACACCATTTAGTACTGTTCGTACGTGTTTTAGTGAATATTTCCACAACCAAACCCATATCTCAACCCCAACTCACAAAGAGTGACATCAATATTAACATTTCAAAATTCCCAAATTGTACCAAAGTTAGTATCATTTCGTAAAGTTCTTATTACACTTATATTTCGAAAAATCCAGTTTTTTCGGCCATATACACCATTGATCTACATGCAAAATTTCGAGAATCTAGCTTCAGTCTTTTCGCATGGGCCTTGATGAAACAGTCAGTCAGTCATCACTCAATTATTTTATATGCATAGATTATGAAATAAAAATTAAATAATAAATTCAATAACAGTTTATCAATAAAAATATCCGGATTCAAAATTCCAACGCGTTCCATTTCAAACTACAAATGCCAGTGAATCGATTTGGGGATATACCAAAGCGTGAACCTTCATATGCATTTTCCGCTACAAAATTTTTCTTTCAAGTACCAAATTTAAAACAATTCCTCCGAGAAGTGTGCTTAAAGTCACCAAAATGCTAATTATTAGAACACTTTCAAATATTTGAAAGTGTTACAAAAGGAATAATTTTTTTATATAGTCCCCTTTCGATGGTGGAGAGTGCAAACATTTTATATTACTTTCTGTTTGAAATTTAAATTGAGCAGGAGACAAATATGTAGGAATTTAAACAAATAATTATGACGTAATTAAATAATTGTCAAAATTAAACTCCATGAAATGCTTATTGGCTTCAAAAAGTTCATAAAAAATTAAATTAATTATAAAAAAAAAATTTAACTTTAAACTTTTCTTAGATATATGTGAAGAGTTCGGTTCGGTAGGCACGTTTTCATATAGCCCCCATCTAACGGTACCTCCCGGTATTCGGTATTTTGATGATTTTAGCGACATGATTCACCGGAATTGTTTCAAATTTGGTATTTGAAGTTCGTAATGGATACCACAGCCTATGACAGAAAATTGTCTATGCAAGTCCACGTCTTCGTGTAGCCACCATATAACGGCACCTCTCAAGCATTTGGATGATTTTAGCGTCATTATTCAACTATCTAATGTCGTATTGGCAGATCCTTAATTGTTTAATTTGAGTCCAGTTGATATTGTAATAGGGGCAGACTTGTACCCTAGAATTATTAAAGATCAAAGCTTTCGCTTGCTAAAAATACCATTTTTGGTTGATTTGTAACTGGACCAATTACGTATCGAGAAAATAGCTAATTTGACAATACTTAAAGTATTTTGCGGTTATCTCTTTTCGATAAAAAAATAAATAAAAATAAAGTGGACTCAAATGTACTTGTTTTCTTTTTTATTTGGACCAAATCAGTCACTGCGGATTTCACATACTCCGTTTCCATAAAAAAAATCCGTAACTACGGATTTTTTTATTACATTGAGAAAATAGTCCATAACTTATTTTGAATTGAAAAACACTTCACAGCCCGAAACCATGACTGTGATATCTAGGCAGCTTGGAATAATCAATTCGTTTATCGTTTACTTTCGAAACTGCTCACATCCTGCACGGTACCATCATTATATTTATTCATATCATTATATTTTTCAACTCAATTTATATTTTAACACCACCCCAGTGTGCTGTGTGTGTTCGTGTGTAATTACTTAAGTAAATCTCAATAAAGAAAGCATCATTATATTTTGATTAAGAAACTAAAACTTTTGCGTTTTGTATTTTTTCTTCCTCTTTTTATCTTAAAAGATTCACCCAAACTTCCCAGTCTATAGAGGGTTGTTGAATATATCTACCTATTCTTAAATTAAACAAGTAAAATATAACATTGGCCAAAAATTCTGTTAAAATCTTAAAATATAGCCGTTATATTGGGGTCTATACGAAGACGTGGCCCTGCATTGGCAACTTTTGTCATAAGTCGGAGAATAATATAGCTAAAATCATAAAAATACCGAATATAGGGAGGTACTGATATATGGGGCCTAAACGAGGGTCTGGACCTGCATAGACAATTTTCTGTCGTAGACTGTATTTCCCATTACGAACTCTAAATACAAAATTTGAAACAACTCCGGTGAATAACGTCCTTGAAATTGTCAAAATACGATATTTTGATAAAAATTGGTATTTATAGCTCATAGTGGGTTCTAAACCGGTGGCAGAACATTAAATATTTAGTTCTACGTTTTCCTATAGCGCACATATAACGATTCCCTCGATATTCGGAATTTTGAAAGTTCTCTCAGATACGGCATGCGTACACCTGTTTTAATTGCGATTTGACACCTAACCAAATTGCTAATACATTACTCATTACTCTTGTTTAAGTTTCATTACAAAAGACTTTATTATGTAATTGCGAAACAATCGGATACAATTGACTAATGCTATTGTGAGACTACACGATACAGATCCTCCTTAAAAAGTATTAGCACATTCCGTAACTATATATGTATCTTTCAATGGAATCACTTCGTCTGAGTCAGAATATGCGATTAAGTCTTCATTTCCATTTTTAGAGAATGTTATTTTTTCCCTCCAAATATCTAAAAACTCTTTCAACTGCACTCCAATGATAAATGTAGTAAGCGCATTTGCTGCTTGAGTTGTTGATATGGAATTTCGGACATTTATTTGATTTCTTCATCTGTTTGGGGGACATATCTTTCTAATAAATCGTATCTTCGTACCCATTGGCTTTAAACATGATTACAATATTCCATATTAAATGTCTTCAACATTTAATTGGAGATTATCAGATTCAAAAAAATACCGGAGCAAAGTTTTGCTTCTCTCAAGAAATATATTTTAAAGGGCGAGAAAAGTCATCTTGCGTTCTTTTCATGGTATCGTCTTTGGACCTAAACAATCCCAATCATCATTTATCAATTGTTCAATATATAAGTTGTGTTTGGTCGCTAGATCCATAAGAAATCTTTTCGGAGTAATTTTTGGCGTATGTCCTATAATATACGCACAACGTTATGTCACGGCTCCTTTTTAAGGGGACATCAGTTTCGTAACATGAATCCTCTTCACTTTTCAAAGCAAACAAGCTATATATTCTTTGCAAGAACAGATTATTCCATCGCCTTTTTCCATTAAACAAGTTTTCGTTTTTGCAATTTGGAACAAAAAATGTATATGCTCCAGAGTTTCTATTTATAGATAATACACGTTCTCTGTTTTATTCATGGAATTCATCGAAACAAATATGTATTTATTTTAAAAGGAGTTAAAGTCGAAATTGAAATCGACAACTTAGTTCACAAACAAAAACCAGTAAAAAAGTCCTGTATTTGATATATTTCCCTGAATATCGTTGTTACGGATAGCATATTACCGCTGTGGGTAACAAATACAACAAATCGGATGAACAATATATATGGGAACTGAACCGATCTTCACCAAATTTGGCATACCTTCTAGACTCAATTCGGTCGTATGTGCCAAATTTCATCCCATTTGGGCAAATATTAGACGTTTGGTGCACAATAAAAGGTAAATCGGACGAAGTTATATATGGGAGCTATATCCAAATCTGAAACGATCTCGATAAAATTTAGCAAAGTTATTTCTGAGCTGCATTTGATATATTTTCCCAAATATTGTTTTAACTGAGTGCATATTACGGCTGCGGAGGACAAAAATAACAAATCGGATGAACAATATATATAAGAGCTATAGCTATATCTGAACCGATTTCGATCAAATTTAGCATACTTATTTTCAGGCCTAATTTGGTTGCATGTGCAAAATTCCATACTATTAGGGCTGATATTACACGTTTGGTGCACAAAAAAAGCAAATCGGACGAAGATATATATGGGAGCTATATTCAAATGTTTACCGATTATCTCCAATTTCAATAGGGCTCGTCCTTGGGCTAAACAAATGTTGTTTGGAAAATTTCATCTCAATCGGATAATAAATGCGACCTGCATTTCGTTCACAAGAATATACGGACAGACGGACTGACATGCATAAATCAACTCAGAAAGTAATTCTATGGAGATCCTCAAAAGTAACTATGGGACTATCTCGCTTCCTTCTCCATGTTACAAACAAATGTACAAAGACATAATACCCTTACCACTATGTGGTGTAGGGTACAACAAATGCACAAAGACATAATACTCTTACCACTATGTGGTGTAGGGTATAATGATAAAATTTATAAACCGTATGATTGTCAATTACACTGTATTAAATACACACCAAATTTGCTGTAAATTGTAGTTTTAAATTCTTAGATACCAGTTGAGATCTCGATTTAAGCCTAAGATGTGGCACAGGCCCCATATATCGGTACATACCGAAACTAAATATTTTAATAATGTTGACAATATTTTCATCATTTATGTCAATGCTGTACAGAGCTGCCAGATGGCAACTGTTAAAAGTAAATACTTCCGGGAGATAATTAAAAAACAAGGTAGATATATACAGCGATAGCAAAAAGAATTCGTGAATTCATTACTTACAATTGTTGTGCTTATTTTCTTCAATATTCCAATTTGCGTTAGAGTCGCGTACATTAGAATTGCATGTTACTTCTTGCTGCTCAAATCCCCATTTTGGCAGTTGTTTCCCAGATGACGACAAGGCACAGCCTTGTAAGTAATGAATAAGCATAAACTTAGTTGTAACTGTATTTACAACGTCATTGGGTTTGCCTCCAATAATTATAATTTTCCAAATATCATTTATATCGCCAATACCATTCTGTAAAATGTTGGATATATACATAATTAGGAAAATGTTCATACATCTAAATATATATATATATATATATATATATATATATATATATATATATATATATATATATATATATATATATATATATATATATATATATATTTATATATATATATATATATATATATATATATATATATATATATATATATATATATATATATATATATATATATATATATATATATATATATACATACCTCTCCGTAGCCGGTCACCTGCATTTGTGTTTTTGATATCGGAGCAGGTTCGTCGTGTGAATGAAGATTGCGTCTAGTTTGCACGTGTTCTAGACGCACTAGATCTCCATGTTTTAGGAACACTACATCTTTTGTAAATTCCTTGTCATGGGGTTTTATGATCCAGACGTTATTTTCATCCTTATGGGTATATGATGTCACCTATATATATTTCATAGAAAGGTCAAAAAGAGTATTCATCGCAAAATAGGCATTATAAGATATGTGTATGGCTTGAGATGATAAAAACCGTTTTATATTGGTGACAGGACATCAGGAACGTATTAACTTTTAAAATTTTAATTAAAAGAATATCTACGTAACTCTACAGAACAATAATTCTTTGAATAATTTTGTTATAACCATTATTATTTTTTGCTTTTATTTAACCAAAATATATGTTTTCTATATATGTACAAATTATTCCAGTGACAGCTCATTATATTGTTTGATTTAATATCCAAATACAATCGATTTATTGACTGTTCCTTTTCAATGTGAATTGAAGACTAACTAAATTACATTCTACTTATTCTAAGGTAAGCGACAGCGCGCCAGCAGTCGCCCGTAGTTCCCACGATGGCCTCTGCTTAGTCGGCAGGTATGCAATGGTAATTGGGGTGGTGTCAATGACAATGAGTCGCGTGTGCATGGTCAGCCAAAAGTACACGCGCAACCAAAAGTACACGCGCAGCCAAAGAATAGTTGGGCGATTGCACAAATGCAGCGCGTGTGCAATGTCAGCAAATCTACACGCGCTGCAGGGAGAGTGGCCGTGTTAACTTGCATATCTTGCATGAATGAGTAAATACTGTGTGTTCCAGAACCTTCTAATAAGCAATCGATTATCATGGTACAAGAAAAATACATTGCAGAGCTCTCATCTGATTACAATTTTTTTCTGAGAGTAACCGACTTGTATCTAATTCATTTTAATGTTTTATTTTGAATATACAGACTTTTGACAGATACGTAAATATTAGTTTTTCATTCGAATCAAAAATAAAATGTCATTGATTGAGTTGTGTTGAAGCCTACTTAATGTGGCAAATGGTGGCACATTTAAATTGATGACCGGAGTTGTAAACACAATTTATAGACAGGATACATAAAAAGAGTAATGCCGTAGCAAAAAAATCGAATTGGTCTTCAAACGGCCTATGAAACCGTCACACGCTACCCGAATGTTGTTCTGCGGTATTTTGGCCCATTCCCGGCGAAGCGCTTGCTTGAGGTGATCGACACTTTTGTATTTTTTAGTGCCAACCTTGCTTTCTAAAATACTCCAGACACAATAGTCCAACGGATTGGTATCCGGAGATTTTGGTGGTCATTGTGCGCTGGAAATGAAGCGAGGAACCTCATTTTGTAACCACTCTTGGGTGGCGCGTGCTGAGTGCGATGGTGCTGATTCCTGTATTCGGCATTTATTCTGATGCCACGCTCGATTAATACGAGCGGAGAGCTTATGTTCTGGTGGCCAAGCGAAGGTGCACATTTTCAGCTGACCTCTTTGGCAAGTAAACGCGATCATTTTGTTCGTTTACAAACTGCTGGATAACTCTTTAGCTCTTTTGAGTTTATTTTCTTTCTGTTGCTATGTAAGTTCTTGCACTTTTTTGGAATTTCAATGTCTTTACCCCGAGCTCATTTTTATACCCTCCACATTGGAAAGGAGGGTATATTAACTTTGTCATTCCGTTTGTAACATCCTTAAATATTCGTCTTAGACCCCATAAAGTACATATATTCATAATCAGCATAAAATTCTAAGTCGATTTAACGATGTCCGTCTGTCTCTCTATTGAAATCACGATACAGCCCACACTATTTGACGTAGAGCGCCAAAATTTAGCAGTGTCTAGGATGGTTGGTATTGAAAATGAGATATATCGGTCCACGTTCTGGTATAGTTCTGGTGTGGCAAAACATTGCATGTATAGGTCCACGTTGTGGTATAGCCCCCATATAAGGGTACCTCCCGATATTCGGTATTTTAGTTTTTTTTTGTCACATTTTCACGGATTTGTCTAAAAATTGGTATTTGTAGGTCATAATGGTTTCCAGCTCCGGTGGCGAAACATTGCATGTGTGGGTCCATGATTTGGTATAGCCCCCATATAACGGTACCTCCCGATATTCGGTAATTTGATAATTTTTGCAGCATTTTTTCACGGATTTGTCTGAAAATTTGTATTTGTTGGTCATAATGGGTTCTAGCTCCGGTGGCGAAACATTGCATGTATGGGTCCATGATTTGGTATAGCCCCCATATAACAGTACCTCCCGATATTTGGTATTTTGATGGTTTTTGCCACATTTTTTCACTGATTTGCTAAAAATTGGTGTTTGTGGGTCATAATGGGTCCTAGTTCAAAACATTGTAATTATAGGTCCATGTTTTGGTATAGCCCCCATATAACGGTACCTCCCGATATTCGGTAATTTGATGATTTTTGCCACATTTTTTCACGGATTTGTCTGAAAATTGGTATTTGTTGGTCATAATGGGTTCCAGCTTCGGTGGCGAAACATTGCATGCATGGGTCCATGATTTGATATAGCCCCCATATAACGGTACCTCCCGATATTCGGTATTTTGATGGTTTTTGCCACATTTTTTCGCTGTTTTCTCTAAAAATTGGTATTTGTGGGTCATAATGGGTCCTAGTTAGTGTGGCGAAACATTGTAATTATAGGTCCACGTTTTGGTGTAGCCCCCATATAACGGTACCTCCCGATATTCGGCATTTTAATGGCTTTTGCCACATTTCTTCTAATGTTTCTTGTACCCTAAGGTGGAGGGTATTAAAAGTTTGGCCCGGCCGAACTTAATGTTTTTTACTTATTCAATACTTGCCGAATGGAATATTGCGATATGTTCAGCACACAAGCCATTTTTCGGCCACTGCGACGCGAGTTTCGGTCAAATCGCCTTTCGCTTCTTTTCGAACCATTTCTACTGATGTTGCTGTTTTCTTCCGTCCACTTCCTTGACGTCGGGCTACTCTACCAGTATCACGGTAACGAGCGATGGTATGAGACACAAAAGATTTATTTACATTTAAATGCTGGAGTACTTTTATGATAGCCACTTGTGGTTTTCCAGTCAAATATAAAGAAATCACACTATTACGCTTGAATTCCGTCACGAATAACTGTTTTTCTGGAAAATTCTCACCAAAACGCTTTTGTACGCTTGTAAACAATATAATGAGCTGTCACTGGAATAATTTGTACATATATAGAAAACATATATTTTGGTTAAATAAAAGCAAAAAAAAAAATAATGGTTATAACAAAATTATTCAAAGAATTATTGTTCTGTAGAGTTACGTAGATATTCTTTTAATTAAAATTTTAAAAGTTAATACGTTCCTGATGTCCTGTCACCAATATAAAACGGTTTTTATCATCTCAAGCCATACACATATCTTATAATGCCTATTTTGCGATGAATACTCTTTTTGACCTTTCTATGAAATATATATAGGTGACATCATATACCCATAAGGATGAAAATAACGTCTGGATCATAAAACCCCATGACAAGGAATTTACAAAAGATGTAGTGTTCCTAAAACATGGAGATCTAGTGCGTCTAGAACACGTGCAAACTAGACGCAATCTTCATTCACACGACGAACCTGCTCCGATATCAAAAACACAAATGCAGGTGACCGGCTACGGAGAGGTATGTATATATATATATATAAATATATATATATATATATAAATATATATATATATATATATATATATATATATATATATATATATATATATATATATATATATATATATATATATATATATATATATCTAGTGCGTCTAGAACACGTGCAAACTAGACGCAATCTTCATTCACACGACGAACCTGCTCCGATATCAAAAACACAAATGCAGGTGACCGGCTACGGAGAGGTATGTATATATATATATATATATATAAATATATATATATATATAAATATATATATATATATATATATATATATATATATATATATATATATATATATATATATATATATATATATATATACATATATATATATTTATATATATATATTTATATATATATATATATATATATATATATATATATATACATACCTCTCCGTAGCCGGTCACCTGCATTTGTGTTTTTGATATCGGAGCAGGTTCGTCGTGTGAATGAAGATTGCGTCTAGTTTGCACGTGTTCTAGACGCACTAGATCTCCATGTTTTAGGAACACTACATCTTTTGTAAATTCCTTGTCATGGGGTTTTATGATCCAGACGTTATTTTCATCCTTATGGGTATATGATGTCACCTATATATATTTCATAGAAAGGTCAAAAAGAGTATTCATCGCAAAATAGGCATTATAAGATATGTGTATGGCTTGAGAAGATAAAAACCGTTTTATATTGGTGACAGGACATCAGGAACGTATTAACTTTTAAAATTTTAATTAAAAGAATATCTACGTAACTCTACAGAACAATAATTCTTTGAATAATTTTGTTATAACCATTATTTTTTTTTTTGCTTTTATTTAACCAAAATATATGTTTTCTATATATGTACAAATTATTCCAGTGACAGCTCATTATATTGTTTACAAGCGTACAAAAGCGTTTTGGTGAGAATTTTCCAGAAAAACAGTTATTCGTGACGGAATTCAAGCGTAATAGTGTGATTTCTTTATATTTGGCTGGAAAACCACAAGTGGCTATCATAAAAGTACTCCAGCATTTAAATGTAAATAAATCTTTTGTGTCTCATACCATCGCTCGTTACCGTGATACTGGTAGAGTAGCCCGACGTCAAGGAAGTGGACGGAAGAAAACAGCAACATCAGTAGAAATGGTTCGAAAAGAAGCGAAAGGCGATTTGGCCGAAACTCGCGTCGCAGTGGCCGAAAAATGGCTTGTGTGCTGAACATATCGCAATATTCCATTCGGCAAGTATTGAATAAGTAAAAAACATTAAGTTCGGCCGGGCCAAACTTTTAATACCCTCCACCTTAGGGTACAAGAAACATTAGAAGAAATGTGGCAAAAGCCATTAAAATGCCGAATATCGGGAGGTACCGTTATATGGGGGCTACACCAAAACGTGGACCTATAATTACAATGTTTCGCCACACTAACTAGGACCCATTATGACCCACAAATACCAATTTTTAGAGAAAACAGCGAAAAAATGTGGCAAAAACCATCAAAATACCGAATATCGGGAGGTACCGTTATATGGGGGCTATATCAAATCATGGACCCATGCATGCAATGTTTCGCCACCGAAGCTGGAACCCATTATGACCAACAAATACCAATTTTCAGACAAATCCGTGAAAAAATGTGGCAAAAATCATCAAATTACCGAATATCGGGAGGTACCGTTATATGGGGGCTATACCAAAACATGGACCTATAATTACAATGTTTTGAACTAGGACCCATTATGACCCACAAACACCAATTTTTAGCAAATCAGTGAAAAAATGTGGCAAAAACCATCAAAATACCGAATATCGGGAGGTACTGTTATATGGGGGCTATACCAAATCATGGACCCATACATGCAATGTTTCGCCACCGGAGCTAGAACCCATTATGACCAACAAATACAAATTTTCAGACAAATCCGTGAAAAAATGCTGCAAAAATTATCAAATTACCGAATATCGGGAGGTACCGTTATATGGGGGCTATACCAAATCATGGACCCACACATGCAATGTTTCGCCACCGGAGCTGGAAACCATTATGACCTACAAATACCAATTTTTAGACAAATCCGTGAAAATGTGACAAAAAAAAACTAAAATACCGAATATCGGGAGGTACCCTTATATGGGGGCTATACCACAACGTGGACCTATACATGCAATGTTTTGCCACACCAGAACTATACCAGAACGTGGACCGATATATCTCATTTTCAATACCAACCATCCTAGACACTGCTAAATTTTGGCGCTCTACGTCAAATAGTGTGGGCTGTATCGTGATTTCAATAGAGAGACAGACGGACATCGTTAAATCGACTTAGAATTTTATGCTGATTATGAATATATGTACTTTATGGGGTCTAAGACGAATATTTAAGGATGTTACAAACGGAATGACAAAGTTAATATACCCTCCTTTCCAATGTGGAGGGTATAAAAATGAGCTCGGGGTAAAGACATTGAAATTCCAAAAAAGTGCAAGAACTTACATAGCAACAGAAAGAAAATAAACTCAAAAGAGCTAAAGAGTTATCCAGCAGTTTGTAAACGAACAAAATGATCGCGTTTACTTGCCAAAGAGGTCAGCTGAAAATGTGCACCTTCGCTTGGCCACCAGAACATAAGCTCTCCGCTCGTATTAATCGAGCGTGGCATCAGAATAAATGCCGAATACAGGAATCAGCACCATCGCACTCAGCACGCGCCACCCAAGAGTGGTTACAAAATGAGGTTCCTCGCTTCATTTCCAGCGCACAATGACCACCAAAATCTCCGGATACCAATCCGTTGGACTATTGTGTCTGGAGTATTTTAGAAAGCAAGGTTGGCACTAAAAAATACAAAAGTGTCGATCACCTCAAGCAAGCGCTTCGCCGGGAATGGGCCAAAATACCGCAGAACAACATTCGGGTAGCGTGTGACGGTTTCATAGGCCGTTTGAAGACCAATTCGATTTTTTTGCTACGGCATTACTCTTTTTATGTATCCTGTCTATAAATTGTGTTTACAACTCCGGTCATCAATTTAAATGTGCCACCATTTGCCACATTAAGTAGGCTTCAACACAACTCAATCAATGACATTTTATTTTTGATTCGAATGAAAAACTAATATTTACGTATCTGTCAAAAGTCTGTATATTCAAAATAAAACATTAAAATGAATTAGATACAAGTCGGTTACTCTCAGAAAAAAATTGTAATCAGATGAGAGCTCTGCAATGTATTTTTCTTGTACCATGATAATCGATTGCTTATTAGAAGGTTCTGGAACACACAGTATTTACTCATTCATGCAAGATATGCAAGTTAACACGGCCACTCTCCCTGCAGCGCGTGTAGATTTGCTGACATTGCACACGCGCTGCATTTGTGCAATCGCCCAACTATTCTTTGGCTGCGCGTGTACTTTTGGTTGCGCGTGTACTTTTGGCTGACCATGCACACGCGACTCATTGTCATTGACACCACCCCAATTACCATTGCATACCTGCCGACTAAGCAGAGGCCATCGTGGGAACTACGGGCGACTGCTGGCGCGCTGTCGCTTACCTTAGAATAAGTAGAATGTAATTTAGTTAGTCTTCAATTCACATTGAAAAGGACCAGTCAATAAATCGATTGTATTTGGATATTAAATCAAACGAGTGTAATCATTTAAATCCTGCCGCTGTCGGTGCGGCAGGAACATTTTTTTGAGCGAGGTCCTTCCGACCTCGTTAAGTGGCGCCCGAGCAGGGACTCACAGTTATTGTGGGTCTGTGTTCCACAGAGAGAAAAATGAAAGGAAAAAAGGAGAAATAGACAAAAGAAACAGTTATTAAATAACAATGAAAATTGAAATAAATTGAATGCTACACAGTCCGCGTGGAGACAGAAGTGAACAAATTGCATGAAGAATATTTAGTGACTGAAAATTAACAAGAAATATTGAGTCTATAGTGACTTTAAAGTGAATACTATAGTGATAACTCTGAATAAAGAAGATGGAAAATAAGAATAAAGATTATGAAAAAAAAAGGATAATGGCAAAACTGGTGGACTGTCACAATATTGTGAAGTCAAGGTTCGACTCCTTGCCATACCTGAAATAGCACAAGATAAGAGAAAAGGATAATGGCAAAACTGGTGGACTATCACAATATTGTGAAGTCAAGGTTCGACTCCTTGCCATACCTGAAATAATACACTGCTGTGAAGCGTCGAGGTTCGATAAATAATTAAAGAAAGATAAAAGCGATCTGCGATCCTGTAGCCCCAAAAGCCAGGCACTCCAGATCAAGAATGAAAATAATTTGAAGAATGAACAAATATATAATAAAGAATGAATAAGATCAATGAAAGTAATGGAATGAATAAAAATAGGACTATGAACACCGTGCCTACGGTTGACGTACATGTCCTTGTGGAACACAGAGGTCGATCGTGAATCCTCTCGGATTGCCTATGGTGTTTTGTGGTGCCTGATACTCCCTAGTGGTGATATGGTGTTGTACCCATAAGAACACAGCATCCTTTTCAAGCAATATCCACATATAATTCACAATAAGAATATCCAGGGGTAGTGTGAAGTCAACCCTGCCTTAGTAGGTTGACCGTAACTATTAACACGGACGACTAAAAAGGATTACAAGGGTCCTTCTACGATCGATCTCCGAGAAATTAAAAATATTGAAAAAAGAAAGAAAGAAAAATTAAATAATTTTAAACGATACAACAATTTGAAAATGTACTAATAAAATTTTTATATTTTCAGAAAACCCACCTTCTGAAGAATTTTGGAAAACTATTTAGAAACCACCTTCTCTGCAAACTTAAGACCTACCTTCTGAAGAATTTTGGAAAACTATTTAAAAACCAACTTCCCTGCAGACTTCAAACTCACACTCTGAAGAATTTTAGAAAACTATTTAGTAATAAGAAGTATATTTATCTCGTACCAGATGAGGAACTGTTTGTTAATGTAAGTAAATTCTTTTCCCTCTATTTTTATGTAGATGTAATTGATTGATTATAATTGAGAGATTCAAAAGAAAAAAAAGGAAACTTAACATTAGAAATCATTAGAATAAATACTTTTGACGAATTTAAATAATCAAGTAAATTTTAAATGATATTGAAATACTATTGAAAATAAGAAAAAACGAATATAAATTAAATATTACTAAATTTGATGCTCAGTAATTAAAACTATTCTTCGCAATCCGAAAAAATCTGAAATTAGACGTTATTGTAATTCTGAACATTTAATATTGTGGAAAAACTTAAGAACAAATAGGAAATAGAAATTACTTAAATATTAAGAATAGAGTAGGATAAAAGGGAAATACATCCAAAGAACTGAACATTGACCATTATTAAGAAAATAAAAATATAACTGAATAATAATTACCATTGGAATTGAAAATCTGAAAAAATACACTTAATATTTTAAAGAATTTGTAAACATGGATTCCTTAACCCAGAAAATTACCAAAATGACCGGAATGGTCAACCTTTTTAGAAATGATGGAATGTTAAGGAATCCATGGTAAGAGGGCTATTAAAATGTTGAGAGGAAGAACAAATTTAACATCTGGACGAGAATGAGAAGTATATACATTGTAATCATTATTTTAGTTTAGCCTTAGTAGCGACAACGCGTGGCGCCCAGATTTATCAATATGATGCACCCCTTATATCTGTGAAGGATGGAATCGGTCGCATTACCAACGGTCACTTCAAGCTTGTCCACATGATAGACCTAGACCGATACAGGGAGCTCGTCAAGGAAATAGCAGCTACAGTCAAATCAACAATGCGAGACCCACAGAGAGCCCAGACAGTTGATTTTCGCCTACATCAGATCAGTAATCGCCTAAGTAGTCTTGGCGGAAAATCTACCAGGGTACTGCGCTCCATTGACTGGATTGGATCAGCTTGGAAATGGGTGGCTGGATCACCAGACGCAGCCGATTGGAATAGAATTCTCAGTAGCGAGAACGAGATCATCGAGAACAACAACCACCAGTACAAGATTAACGGAAAACTTTTTTCTAAAATGGAGGCGGTTCTGTTGGCAGGGTCGATGAGGTTTTTAAATTCGTCGATAATACGATTGACCTTCAAATCGTATTATCGACGAATTTAAAAACCACATCGACCCTGCCAACACGGATCGACTAGAATTGGGTCTACTGGACCAAATCTCCATAATTAGTGGGGAAGTCGGCGAAATCGTTAGAGCCTGTCAACTGGCCAAGAGCAGGATAATTAATACGAATATAGTTGACAGGGAGGAAATCAATGGGATCCTTGCTGAGATGGAGACACTCCCCTACGAGAATGAGATAGAAGCTATCGAACACGGTACTCCCTCGATTTATGTGAACGGGTCTATGCTTCTTTATATTGTGTCTATGCCGAAGTTAGGAAGGAGGGACTATAACCTACTACACACAAGAGCTTCGATTCTCGATGTCAAGAGGATTGACATCGAATATAAAAAGATGCTGGTTAATCAGGATGAGACTTATGGAATAACGGGCAGCTGTTCGTCCACCAACATCTTTACCGTTTGTGAAATGTCCGACTTGGAGGGACTAGAGGACGACGATTGTGTTCCAAAATTATTGAAAGGAGGGGACGCTAAATGCCGATACCGTACGGGTAACCAGACCATTTTGGAGCTTGTGAAGGAAGGCACGATATTCGTCACAAACTACGTGGGAGAATTGCGATCCGATGGCACAACGAGACAGTTGAACGGAACCTACGTGATCCAGTTTTATAACGAGACAATCGAACTTGATGACAAAATATTCTCTAACGTTCTAGCGAGCCGACTTCAGGTGCTTCCACCGGTCCTATCTTATGTGATAAGTCAGGGCAACAGGGTCGACATCGATTACCTTCATGAACTAAGCATTACAAACATCAAGCGACTCAAACAACTCACACAAGGGGTTCAAGCCGGCGGAATTCCCAGTTTTTTCATTTTGGTGCTTCTCATAATGGCAATTGGTTACCTTTGGAAAAAGGTCAATGGTAGAGTGACCTTACCAGATGTCGGACCTAGGACACTGGGAACAGATCCTCCCAACATTTGTTAACATCTACGGGACGTAGATTTTTGAGGGGGGAAGAGTTAACACGGCCACTCTCCCTGCAGCGCGTGTAGATTTGCTGACATTGCACACGCGCAGCATTTTTGCAATCGCCCAACTATTCTTTGGCTGCGCGTGTACTTTTGGCTGACCATGCACACGCGCCTCGTTGTCATTGACACCACCCCAATTACCATTGCATACCTGCCGACTAAGCAGAGGTCATCGTGGGAACTACGGGCGACTGCTGGCGCGCTGTCGCTTACCTTAGAATAAGTAGAATGTAATTTAGTTAGTCTTCAATTCACATTGAAAAGGAACAGTCAATAAATCGATTGTATTTGGATATTAAATCAAACGAGTGTAATCATTTAAATCCTGCCGCTGTTGGTGCGGCAGGAACATTTTTTTGAGCGAGGTCCTTCCGACCTCGTTAAGTTGCATGATTCATGAATTGAACTATTGTGTTTCATAATTTGAATATAATACTTACGATTTTTGTATTTTTGTTTGCTATTACCTGTTGTTGTTGCGATCCCACTCCTTTGGGATATAAATGCAAATGTGAGTGTAAATAACCACCTCCAGTTTTGTGATTTTTAATGGACACCATGCTACCAAAAGCCACATTTCGAGGCATACTTGCATTATATAGCGAATTTCCAATTAAACGAGATTGAAATGCCGAACTGTAAAATCCATCACCGTTTCCACTGTGGTTTAAAATGTTCAAATGTATGTAAAAGAATGTAAGGTACAAAAATATGGGCCAAATTATTAAGGCCACTGAACGACATCCAATTTGGTTAAGAGTCTCTTTCTGAAAAAAATAATGAAATTTATTTTGACAAAAAAAGCATATCGCTTTACGTACTATTGGCTTTTCCAAATCTCCCAATATACACCAAATTTCGTAAATTGTATGAAGGCCAACAAGTAACACAACAAAAAGTCCCACAAATTTAACACTTATTGTGCATGCCAACGCTGTTCCCGTAAAAAAAAGATAACTCCACCATTTTATGGTGAATGATAAGCCGGAAACAGTAAATTTCGAAACCTTTACCATTCCCCAAACAGAGGAAACCATAAAAAAGAGAAGAATCGGATCCAGAAGAATATATTGGTTTAATGTCAAAACGCCGACGTCTGAAAATATACAATACTTTTATTTTAAACTTCACTATTAAAGTACCTGTTATTACCAAATATAAGAAAAAATGCTGCCACAATGGCAGCTTCAAGCGAGTGGGTCATGTCATGAACTATATCAAAAGCCATTGGAATAATTAATGCCCCCAGTGTAGTGCAAAACTGAAAAAAATAAATAACATATAAAAATTTAGATTAGGTTTCTCCCGATTTTTAAACCAAAAATATAAAATTGTAGTAATTTATTTAACATTTTATTATTTGCTTATTGGTTCGTGCATATAGAACCTGCAAGAAGTACAATTTTTGCCATTTTTCGATATCATAAAGAAAAAATCGGTTGTCGTTGTAAAAACTTTTACATTCTTACAGTTCGGGAATATACAAGGTATATTTACTAGGTAGTCGAATCACCCCAGCGGACGGCACCTTTAAATGTCAAAACAAGTTGATGTAATGCTGAATTCTCCTTAAATAAATGCAACACAAAAACAAAGTTTGTTTATGTCTTCTTCACTAAAAATATTTTTTCTTATATTTGCAGCGGCTCTGCTACCAATAGGGCTTTTAGTGGTGGCGATATTGGTGCTATGTTCTTTCTTTAAAACCATTTCATCGGAAACACTTGCTTCTGTTGTGCCATGTGTTGGAGTCGGTGTAACCTTCGGATACCAACTATGGCTGCAATATTAGTGGTATTTGTCGATGACGTAAAAGACAGTTGTAGGGGTTGTAAAAACATTTCGGAACTTGGGGCTGTTACAATGGTCCCTGAGAGTCGTATTATAACTTAGCTTAATTTCCACACATAACATAAAATGAAAAGAATTTGCCGCAAACTTTAAATGTCATGGCGAATGCATGTTTTTCGTCTCAGATGCCAATTTTGACATTTGAGAGTACCACAAAAGTTGCTTTATTGTAGCAACTCGCCGATGCGGTTACCTCTTAAATCTACCTTGGGCAATAACCAATTTATATATTTAAAAGAAAGTTGTGTTAGTTACTACGCTTAAAACTCAAGAACCGCTGCTCTGATTGTAACGATTCAAAAAAGGATAGAATAAAAAAAAAATCGCGTAAAAATGTGAAATTATTCATTTTGACTTTTGAAATGTACAATAGTAATGTTTTATTTTATTTTGATTACTATTTTCGAATGTACATTTATAGTCTTTTTTTTTGAATTCTAATATGTGTTGTTTTTTGGGGTGTATAAAGCTACAACGGACAAAACTGTTATTTATTATAAATTATGTATTTATTGGGTAAAAGAATAAGCTATGAGCGGAAAAAATAAATATTTTATTATGTAGGAACGGTTTTTTCAATTTGATTAACTTTATTTAACGACTCGATTTCTTTCCTGCAGGCGGTTTACATTGAAGTGTAGTACCGAATTATGTGGTGGCGAAACTGAATAGATGATGTCGAAATAATTTAATGCGTTCACACCAAAGTAAAAGGATAATTACTTTTTCAAAATCGCTAAAAATCAAAAAAGCGACTACCTCATTGCACAAATTCTAAAATCGAAAAAATCGAGAACATTTTTCATCTGAATAGAATTTCAAAATAATGGTACATTCTATTAACAAACTTCGGAAGAACCAAGGAGGAAAATGTTTGTATGTTTGTAATTTATGGACTCGAAAACCGGTTCACAGATTTTCCTCAAAATTTCCAAGTATACTACAACATCGCCTGAAAGTAATATAGGCTATACAAATTTTTGAAGTTCCACTTGGAACTGTAGATATAGCATCAAAATCGGAGGTACCTCCCAAAAATTTAGATTTTATGTGCACATATCTATTTATCGTAATGGAATTTGGAACAAAAATAAATTTTCCAAATTATATTGAAATTGGTTCATATTAGAATATAACTCACATATATACTTTCGGCAGATTTCAAGATTTAATGCATTAAACACGCTGTGCACGCCACATTTCAACAAAATTTGCAATGGTTCAGATTTGGATATAGCTCTCATATATATATGTTTGACCGATTTCGTTTATTTGATACACAAAACACCACACGTATGTTCGATTCCAATGAAATTCAGAAAGTGTAACGGGATTTTGATCTGAAAAAAATTAGTCAAATTATATTGAAATCGGTTTAAATTGGGAATTACTCCCAAATACATTTTCGGCCGATTTCATGTATTTGATGCACCAAACACGCTATGTATCTTTAATTCCAATGAAATTTGGAATATGCAACGGAATTCAAAACGAACATACATTTGCCAAATTATATTGAAATCGGTTCAGATTTGGACATAGCTCCCATATATATTTTCGACCGACTTCGTTTATTTGATGCACCAAACACGATATTTATGTATGATTCCAGTGAAATTTGGTATGTGCGACGGGATTTCGATCAGAAATTAATTAGTCGAATTATATTGAAATCGGTTCCGATATAGATATAGCTCCAATCTTTATATTTGGCTGGAAAACCACAAGTGGCTATCGTTGGAGCATTCCAACATTTAAATGTGAATAAATCTTTTGTGTATCGTACCATCACTCGTTACAGTGATACTGGTAGCGTAGCTCGACGTCAAGGAAGAGGACGGAAGAAAACAGCAACATCGGCAGAAATGGTTCGAAAAAAGCGACTTGATCGAAACACGCGTCGCTGTGGCCAAAAAAATGGCTCGTGAGCTGAACATATCGCAATATTCCATTCGGTTCGGGGTAAAGCAATTGAAATCCAAAAAGTGCAAGAACTTACATCGCAACAGAAAGAAAATAGACTCAAAAGAGCTAAAGAGTTGATTCGCTTGGCCGAAAGTGGTGAACTGCCGAATTCGGTTTTCTCCTATGAGAAAACTTTTGTTATCCAGCAGTTTGTAAACGAACAAAATGATCGTGTTTACTTGCCAAAGAGGTCAGCTGAAAATGTGCACCTTCGGTTGGCCACCAGAACTCAAGCGGCGGCCATGGTGATGGTATGGGCCTCTATAACATCCGATGGTCGCTCTCCGCTCGTATTTCACTGATTGCAGTCCCAATAAATATCGCATTTTGAATTCTCATTGGATGGATTATTGCCATCTCTAGTAAGGAAAGATCACCCTTTAACCTCGTATTGTGCAAAACAATAAAAATATGTACACCTTAATATGTCAATTTTTAAAAATTTAAAAAAGTTATGTAGGGTAAGTGCGCCTGAGTTCGGCATGTCCCAGTAGTCGGCAGTTTTGAAATTTAAACATAAATAACTTAGAATAGAATTGACCAAATAATGAAATAATTGCAAAAAAAAAAACGTCAACAGTGTTCTCTTCCTGTAAAAACAATGACCACCTATCATTTATTACGAAAGAACAACGGTTTTTTTTAGTGAGTGTCTTCCAACGCGTGCGATAGTGCTTGTTTGTAAAGGAAAAAATAATGGTGGCGTCAACTTAATAATCGATTTAAATAAATTAAATTTAATTCTTTTGAAATCAGAAATATTTTACAATAGTAAATAACAGTCTAAAGATCATTTTATAACTTAAAAATATACAAATCAAGCAAAAAAGAGATTTGCTTTTATATGTGCTTTTTCACCAACTAAATAATAGATAGCGGTGGCATTTTTGAAAAAAATGTTGGCTATCTAAAGGAAAAGGATGAATTCACAAATTCCAAATATAAGAAAGGTACTTTTTTCTTTTAATCTCATTTTTATTTTAATTGAAAATCCATACGTTACTGAAGGTCACCAAACTCTATTCTTTTCTACCTATATTTGGTTTAAAATGATAATTAAAAAATCACTATTTAAAAACGAAATTAATTTCAAATTCTGGATTAAACAGTGAATAAGTAATATAGAATTGTTTTATACTATTTGAAATTAAAAAATGTATTAAATAATATTTTTACTGAAATAACATATATTTGCCAGTAGTCGGCATATGTTATTTCAGTAAAAATATTATTTAATACATTTTTTAATTTCAAACATGCCGAAAATTGGAAAATGGTGCCGACTACTGGCAAAAAACTACTATTTTAGTAAAATTGCGCATTTTGCCAATTTAATAAAAACAAATTCAATTTTTTTTATTTTATACCCTCCACCTTGAAAAGGAGGATATATTAACTTTGTCATTCCGTTTGTAACATCCCTAAATATTCGTCGTGTCTCCATAAAGTATACATATCTATGATCAGCATAAAATTCTAAGTCGAGTAGCACAGAGTAACGATGGTACTCAAGATGCCGCCCACATTATTTGACGTAGAACTTCAAAATTTGGCAAAACAGTTTGTATTGTGTATTACCATATATCGGTCCACGTTTTGATATATCCGCCATATAACGGTATGTCCCTACTAGATGATTTTTGGCCAGATTTTTTCACTGATTTGTCTACTTGTAATTGGCAATGGGTTCTACCTCTGGTGGCCGAACATAGTTTATATAAGTCTACGTTTTGGTATAGCTCCCACGTAACGGTACCTCCCGATACTCGGTATTTTTATGATTCGCTAAAAATTGGTATTTGTAGGTCATAGTAGGGTCTAGCTCCGGTAGTGCAACATGTTTGTCCAAGTTTTTGAATAGCCTCCATATAACATTACCTCCCAATATTCGATATGTTGATGATTTTTGTCACATTTTTTCATGGATTTGTCCGAAAATTTGTACTTGTAGTTCGCAATGGGTTCTAGCTCCAGTGGCAGATAAATAGGAACATGTTTTCGTATAGTTCTCACATAAGGGTACCTTCGGATATTCCGAATTTTCATGATTTTTGACACGTTTTTCCACGGATTTGTCTAAAAACTGGAATTTGTAGCTTATAATGGGTTAATTTTAAAATGTACATTACTACTGTTTTTTTTTTAATTATAGATTATAGATATTATAGATTTGTAGTCTTTTTGGCGATTATAAAACGACAATAGAAAAAACTGTTATTTATAGATTTTATGTATTTATTGGGTAAGTGGAACTATACGAATAATATCATTTCAGAACATGATAAGCTATGAATAAAAAAAAAAACTTTTTTTTACAAAAACAGGCGGTTAAACCCACATACTTTTGCTGATTTTTTCTTTAAGTCATCAGAATTGAAGTTAAGTTATACTAGCTAATGAAACCTTGGTCTTTCTCAATTTTCTTTGATAAACTCCGAGAAAGTGTCAGGATTTCTACAAAAGTATATTTTTGCATTTCCGTATCTAATATTAATATTATTAACGACCTCTCCGGTCGCTGTAGTGAATGTGCTTGCCTTGTTCTTTTGTTATTTTGTGTTTGAACTATTTATGTTGTTTGATACGTATGGTTTTCACTTAAGATTTTTATACCCTCCACCATACTATGGAGGGTATATTAACTCTGTCATTCCGTTTGTAACTCCTCGAAATACTTATGTCAGACCCAACAAAGTATATATATTCTTGATCAGCGTAAAATTCTAAGTCGATTTAGCGATGTCCGTCTGTCTGTCCGTCTGTCTGTTGTAATCACGCTATCTTTCGAATGAATTAAGATAGATGGCTAAAATTTTACACACATGTTTATTTTTCCAGTAGGCAGGTTAAGTTCGTAAATGGGCCATGTAGGTCCACGTTTTCATATAGCCCCCATATAACGGTACCTCCCTATATTCGGTATTTTGACGATTTTAGGTACAATACCCACCGAAATTGTTTGAGATGTGGTATTTGAAGTTCGTAATGGATGCTACAGCCTGTGACAGAACACACATACAGGTCTTCGCACAGCTCCAATTTAACGGCACCTCCTTATATACATTATTTTGATGATTTTAGCTACATTATTCACCGTTTATTTCAAGTTTCGAATTTGAATATGGTAATGGCTTATGACAAACAATGCCTATGTATGTCCACGTCGTATAGACCCCAATATAACGGCTATATTCGGTATTTTTAAAATTTTAACAGAATTTTTTAAGGATTTCATTTTTTAAAAATTTCCAAATTCATTGCAAATGGTGGAGGGTATTAAAAGTTCGGCCCGGCCGAACTTACTGCTTTTTAACTTGTTATTTTTAAATTTTGTTTAAGGGTGTACTATTGAGATTATTTTTTTATACTTGCACATATTATAAGAAATAATGAACTATTGTACTGGGAATCATCTTCTAAAACGTCGATGAGCTGTTATTGATTTCATAAACTCGACAAAAAAAAAGTCTCTTAAGTCTTAAGTTTCACAATTCGACAAAAAATGTATTTGTCATTTATTCATTTGTGACAGCTGGGCAATTCGGTTTCAATCTAGGAAAGAAACCAATTTTTTTAATAATATTGAATAATTAAATAATACCGAATACTGTAGCAACAGAAATAGTATGTGTTGATAACTAACTCTAACTGAATATGCTACATTTGTGCAGCAAGCCCAAAGCAAATGAATGATCCTGTGAGTTGTTCAAAAAAGCTACACTTAAGAGTACAACGATTTTGGTTTATTTCCTCTGCATTTATATACACAGATTTTGAAAAACCCCAGATCAATTAAAATGAGGCTACGATTATTTTGGGGAAGTATGTTGGTTCATATATATTGCTACCTCGAATCCCTCTAATAGCAACAAAAATGCCGTTCAAAGTTAAATGATTGAACTAGTGTTCTATATATACAAAAGGAATTACTGAATAAAATGTCTTTCGTTTTCCATTTTTAAACTTTTATTTATTTATATCACGTCGGTTTATATGGTGGCCTTAGTAATAAGTGAACATGAGGAAGAAATTATTTTTATAATGGTGTTTTACCGTTGAATAAGTACAATATTATGTTATATACGAATCTGTTGGTAGCCTATACAGAAAAAATCGATCAATTTAAAATATTTATGTCGCGCCTTCCCATGCAAGTGGGGCCATTGTACAACGTGTTGTTCTTGAGAATTCGAACAATATTGTGTACGAAAATTATTTTGGTACAGAGTGTAGGAATAGACATGGAATTATGAAAATGTGTAATTTTATGTGTGTTAAAAGTAGCAAGTTTTGTATAAAGTGTTAAATAGAAAAAAGAGAGAAGAGCAAATAAATTTATTGGTTTTACTTTAATATTGTTAAAATTTCAATTCATTAGTATAAAATATGGCAAATAAAAATGCGGCGCAGAAAACTTGGATTCGATTTATAAATATATACTTACATATCGCATCCCTTGAAAGTTAGTCTCATTATATTTATCCCCGGGTTTTTCGAAAGCAAATTTTCCATCGTATCCTGTTAAGTATCCAGACAATGCAATCAGCATCTAAAAATGTAAGTCAAAATCATAAATAAAAATCTGAAGATATTTAATTTGTTTTGGTTTAAAAATTAAGCGGAGGCAGATGAGTGTTCGTTAAATTAGACGACTTTAAGTGACTTTTCTATATTTCTGATCTAAATCCAAATATTACTTTATAATTCTGCTATAAATTTAGGCTTTGCTACAAAACCCAAATTCAGTCAAAACATTAATGTTTCTTATTTTAAAAGTTATTCGACCCATCCTAATATTTTATGTATTATTTTTAGATTTTTCTATTTTATGTTGTTTAACCCATAAAAACAACAATAAAAACCATGGCAAATTATTGTTACTTGTTTTTAAGTGAATTTAATTTATAAAGAACAATGGTCGAATGATTGGTGCCTAATGAAGTTTCGTGTGTGTAAAGGTTTACATGCTTAACAAAGAGCCATTTATTGATCATTGTTTCCTTTGCTTATTCTTTTAATCGTTCATTTTGTTTTACTAAAGTTTTTCGTCTATTTATACATAGGAAGGCATTATAAAATACAATACCCAGTATCGCCGTGTTTTAAGAGAAACAAGCAAAAAAGAAGCTAAATTCGGCCGAGCCGAACTTTCAATACCCTTCACCATTTTGAAGGATCTTAAAAAATGTCCAAAAAATTCCGTTGAAAAATACCGCTTAAAGAAAAACCGTTATATGAGAGCTATACGAAAACTTTTTTGTCATAGGCTGTAGTACCCATTAGGAACTCTTAAAAAAATTCCGGTGAATAACGTTCTTAAAATCATCAAAATATCGAATATCAGGAGGTATCGATATATGGGGATTATACGAAGATGTGGACCTGCATACTTGCGTATGATAGTGAATATCGGGGAGTACCGTTGTATGGAGGACAAACGATATCCCGGACCTTATATGTGGGCTATATGAAGACGTGGACCTACATAGACAATTTTCGCCAAAGATTGTAGTACCCATTACGAGCTTCAAATACGAAACTTGAAACCAAAATAGCGAATATCGATACCCCGTTGTATGGGGGCTATTTGACATCGTGGACCAATATAGACAGTTCTCTTCCATGGTGTAAAGTACTCAAAAGGAAATCCGTGTGTGGACTTTTACGACTTGATCGAAACCCGCGTTGCAGTGGCCGAAAACTGGCTCGTGAGCTGAAAATATCGCAATATTCCATTCGGCAAATATTGAAAAATAAGCTCGGGGTAAAGCCATTGAAATTCCAAAAAGTGCAAGAACTTACAAATGAAATTTGGAATGTCTGATGGAATATATCTAAAAATGTGTTTGCTAAATTATATTGAAATCGGTTCAGATGTGGATATAGATCCAATTTATATTTTCGACCGATTTCGTTTATTCGATACACCAAACACGATATGTATGTTCGATTCCAATGAAATTGGGAATAAGTGACTAAATTTGGTAAACAAAAATATTTCCCAGATTATATTGAAATCGCTAATAAATTTGACAACTTACTTGGAAATCGGTTAAGGTATGGATATAACTCCCATATATATTTTCTCGGCCGATTTCACAAATTTGACGCACCAATTTCAATGAAATATGGGTGGTGTGACGGATTTTGGTGTAAAAGTAAATTTTATCAATCAAATTTGCAATTATACTAGGCTAACAGTAAAAAAACTACAAAACAATTTAATTGGGGATTATTACGGGGAAGTATGTTGCGACTCAACTTCTAAAGATTTCCGTTTCCTGCACCCTTGGCATAAATCCGAAGGACAAACCCTTCGTGTATGCGGACTAAATTTGTCATGTTCCTGCTTTTCTCATGAACAGCTATTCCTGTCATGTTCAAGCGTTGGTAGACCGAGTTATTTGTTATTTTCGCATTAAAGTATTCTTATAGCCCCCTAAAATGGTTCCTCGATGTTCAGTGTTTTTGAAAGTAGCAGTACCAGTAGTAATTTCGAAAACCAAGTAGAAAAAAAAATTATTTTATCCGATTTTTTTTTTTCCGTTTATAATTACAAAAAAAAAAAACTTATTATTGTATCATATACTCACTTTTCCAAGTGGCGGGTGTACATCAAAGAAGAAGGTCCGATTTATATACCAACTGCCCATTTTTCCGAAGTGGGTTTCGTCCCAGCTATATAAAAAAGAAAAATCAACGTTAATAAGTAATATTTAAATAATAATAAGTAATTGTTAATTGTATGTTATCAGAAGCGACAAAAAATGGTGGATATATGGAGGGCTCACTGCTATACCGAACCAAGTCATGAAAAATAAAAAATGCCGAAATTAGTGCCAATGTCCCGGTATATGGAAACTCTGTTTACTCTATAAAGCACAATGTCAAAAAGTGTTTCGTTCCAAAGATAACGGTAAAAAACCTAAGTCAACGACTGACAATTTCGACTTTTTTCAAAGCAAAAATGAACCAAGTCAGTGTGTTTCACGTTGAATCAGTACTATTAGTGAGAACGTGTTTATTGTCGTTCAGTTTTCAGCAACATTAAAAAAAATCAGTGTTTTCTATAAATGGATAGTAATAATAGCAGCACTAGTGATTTTTCCAGTAATGGAAATGAGGAATATTTGCCAGCCCCAAAAATGATGAAAACGGAAATGACGAATTTTTTATGTGTAAATATTTGTTGAAACCATGGTAAAATAAGGAAGGTAAAGTCATTTCATATAAGCATATCCATCTCTGCATTTTCTGTAATTTACCCTGTCAACTTTCCCTGCAACGTTGAAAAAAAGAAACAAGTAAAAAAGCTGTAAGTTCGGGCCGAACTTTGAATACCCTCCAACATTTGGTACAAATTTTGCAATTTTCAAAAAATTTAAATCCATTAAAAATTCAGTTAAAATCTTAAAAATACCGAATGAAGCCGTATATTAGGGTCTATATGAAAACGTGGAGCTGCACATACAATTTGCTGTCATAGGCTGTAGTATTCATTACGAACTTCAAATACTTAATTTGAAATAGTTCCGGTAAGTAATATCGCTAAAATCATCAAAACACCGAATATCGGGGGACACCGTTATATGGGGGCTATACGGAGACGTGGACCTACATGGCCCATTTTCAATACCAAAAGTCCTACAGTCATAATACGCATTTGAGTAAATTTTTATCAACTTACTTCATTTCGTTCGGAAGCTAGAGTGATTTCCACAGACGGACAGACGGATAGACTGTTATGCTGATCAAGAATATATATACTTTGTGGGGTCTAAAATGTATATTTCGAGGTGTTACAAACGGAATGACAAACTTAATATACCCTCCATACTATGGTGCAGGTTATAAAAATGTAAACATATAATTGCATGACTTTACCATCTTTTTCTACCATAGTTGAAACCTTAAATTTTCCTTTGTCCTTGTTGACATTAATTTATTTTTTTTTATACCCTCCACCTTGGAAAGGAGGGTATATTAACTTTGTCATTCCGTTTGTAACATCCCTAAATATTCATTTTAGACCCCATAAAGTATATATATTCATAATCAGCATAAAATTCTAAGTCGATTTAACGATGTCCGTCTGTCTGTCTGTCCGTCTGTCTGTTGAAATCACGATACAGTCCACATTATTTGACGTAGAGCTCCAAAATTTAGCAGAGCTATTTGCATTGTGTCTAGGATGGTTGGTATTGAAAATGAGATATCGGTCCACGTTCTGGTATAGTCCCCATATAACGGTACCTCCCGATATTCGGTATTTTGATGATTTATACCACATTTTTTCACGGATTTGTCTTAAAATTTGTATTTGTAGGTCATAGCGGGTCCCTGAGCGTGTGGCAAAACATTGCATGTACAGGTCCACGTTGTGGTATAGCCCCCATATAAAGGTACCTCCCGATATTTAGTATTTTAGTTTTTTTACCACATTTTTTCACGGATTTGTCTGAAAATCGGTATTTGTTGGTCATAATGGGTTCCAGCTCCGGTGGCGAAACATTGTAATTATAGGTCCACGTTTTGGTATAGCCCCCATATAACGGTACCTCCCGATATTCGGTAATTTGATGATTTTTGCCACATTTTTTCAGGGATTTGTTCGAAAATTGGTATTTGTTTTTCATAATTGGTTCCAGCTTCGGTGGCGAAACATTGCATGCATGGGTCCATGATTTGATATAGCCCCCATATAACGGTACCTCCCGATATTCGGTATTTTGATTGTTTTTGCCACATTTTTTCACTGATTTGTCTAAAAATTGGTATTTGTTGGTCATAATGGGTTCCAGCTCCGGTGGCGAAACATTGTAATTATAGGTCCACGTTTTGGTATAGCCCCCATATAACGGTACCTCCCCATAATCGGCATTTTAATGGTTTTTGCCACATTTCTTCTAATGTTTCTTTTACCCTAAAGTGGAGGGTATTAAAAGTTTGGCCCGGCCGAACTTAATGTTTTTTTACTTGTTTTTAAATGAATTTATTTTATTTTCCAAAAAATCACAATGGTTGTCAATTACAACAGATGTACACGCAGCTGCCAGCCGCTAAAGCAAAACATGACTCAAAATAAAACTCCGAAACTAGTGGGAAATTAATCGCTGAAGTGAACTATATTTAGTCATATAACGAACACCTTATTTTATTTTTTTGACTTGGTTCTCTTTAGCTGTGAAATCTTCAAATTTTATTCAGAGTAATAATGAACCAAAGTAGGTTTTTTTGTTTTTGAATATTTTTTTAGTAATATATTTAAATTATTTTTATTTTAAATTAATATCATTAGTTAATTTTGAATATAGTCTTTTACATTTTCTTTTGGTAGACTAAAATATTCCTTCCAGAAATTAATGGCAGTGCATTTACTTTACCTCTAAATATCTTCGAATTATGTTTTTATGACTTAGTTCGGTATAGCTGTGAGCCCTTCATATATAAATAAGTTTTTTTAATAATCATTGGTCCCTCTATTAAATTAATGTAAGATTTCTTCAGCACAGAATATCCAAACAGTATGAGTTTTAAATTTACCATGGATGGCGATGCCCTATGGCTTTTAAACCAGGCGTTGGTTTTCGTCATCACTTGTCTAAGAGTGTTTGTACCTGTTTTGTATAAGAGCCTCCTAAAACATAATTGCCTATCGTCGACAATATGATCGCGGAGAACAAAATTAGGGTTTGGTAGCTTATTGGTAACTTGGGACATCTGCACGGTACGTGTTGACCCGTCTCTACCTCTATTTCACTTTTACATATTCTATACTAGTCAGGTCCACTGTAATCCCATTTTTAGGTCAGATATCTGATACTTGGGAGGCCAGCACAGATAATATGACAAGACTGAGCCTGAAGTTCTTCAAATTAATTGAATGGAATGGTAGCGTTAATGACAGGGACGCATGCGGGGAGATTGGGCCCGAGTTCCCTGATTAAAATAAGCAATTATTTTCCCAAGTGTGCCCGGCTTCTGCCAATTTTGTGTATGTATTTAATTATGTATAAGTATAATTAACTAATTAATTTACATTATTGCACTGATTAGTATTTATTTATTGCACGATCTCCACCCCGTGTGAGTTGCCTGTAGCAGTAGGCTGTGTTGTCTCTTGTTGTAATGATTCTCCATTTATTTTTACGTCGTCAATGTTAGGGGTATGTTTGTGTATTTTACAGTGTTCGGACAATGCAGTTTTTTTTGTATTATGTTGGTATTTCTTAATTTTATGTCCAATTTGTGTTTCATGTTTATCCATTTTTGGGGTTTGCTATACATTGATTTTTTTTTGCGTTGCTAGAACTGTGCGCAATGCTATATTTGGTTTTGTCGTATATGTCAGATTTCTCCAATCGTTCTGAGATATTATTTGGATTTGTATATTTTCTTCGGTTTGTCGTTTTCTGATGTTTAAGAACTAGTTGTGATAATACGATTTAACCTAACTTAGCAATAAGTATAAAAGATAGAGAGATGCCAACTGTACACGTGCCTATGCACCACGCCACCATAAATCTTGAGGGGAGGTCATAAACACGCATAGCTATCCTACATGTGGCAAACATCAGAGATGGCCATGATGTACTGTATTTCTAGTGCACTGATAATTTCACTATTACTATTCATTCACTAAAGTGTTAGTGGTAGTGAAACATTAAATTGAACTACCACAGACCATTTAGTGATATTTTAAAAAAATTGCACTATTACTATTTTTTTCTTTCTGTGTCCAAATTTCGCATCCTTCTCTGTCAGCGCCATCTTACAGATCTTTGATAGTTTATCGTTCCAGCGTTCAAAATTTTCTGTCACTTTGGCTTGTATTTTACTCGCTGCACTATTGCTACTAAGCAAATTCATTACAACTTGAGCTTCCTTCAGCATCTCATTACTCCAGCTACGCAGATGGCTCCCTTTTTCCTTCTTCATTTCGATGGCGAACACCATAACTTCGACTTTAGAATTTTTCCACTTGGACTCTGCAGTGGTAGATGCCTGCTCTTTTGGGTCTCCAGGGTGTAATTCTTATTCTACAAATATTTTAACTTTGCTCATGGGGTCTTCTTCTACAACTCTTTCGTCCGTGCTGGATTTTCTGACTAATTTTGTAGCAAACTTATTGCATTCTGTTTTAGCTGCTTTACGATTCTCCTCCGAAGAAGCCCCGAAACTCCCCGAAAGTGTCACTTCCCTCTCCTAAGTTCTTACAGTGTGTTTTTCTGGAGTACTTTCTGCATGTTATTTCTTTCTTTTCATTTTATGTGAAATCAAAGCAACCATTTTTCCATTTTTCTCATTTCGCCAACCGTTGCTTCGCTCCTTTCGCTCGTCGTCCAATTCATTTTTTCAAGTCAAGGACTTTCTCTTTGGTCTCCACATTAAGAGCCTGCGTGACTTCAAGGATAACCTTAACATCTTCCGAGTACAGCCTCGTTGTTGCATTCGCCTAACTTGGTCTGATATCAGCGACTAGATTGGACTTCCTATGACTTCTTTCGTCTTAAATGTACTCATTCCACCATAATGGGGCATTAATTTCTAGAAGAGTCGCAATCTCTTCCTTCATTTTCACAATTGGCGACCATTTCATCAATTCGTTCTCCTGGAAATATGTCTCACTCTTTCTGTCAGAAGATCTAAGATATGACACCGAGAGGTGTGCACCGCCA